ACTTTAGATTGAACAGTTATGTTGAGTCATAACCTGCTCAAATACAGGAAGAATGATTCTTGAGTTTTCCTGTTCACCATTCATACATCTGTTTCATGGTTAAACCTTGAGTATAAAGCGAGTTTATTAAATTCAGTCCATGATGTTTGCTAATTTTCACGCAGACATAAGATTATTGGCAAATTACTAAAGGTGTCAGGGCTGTCAGAGACTTTAAAATTAAACATGATAGAAAATAATACTGCACATGTGAGCTTGTTTATTTCGCAGCGTTTCAACACCTTGTTACATTTTCTATTCTTCCCGAGGAAAATACTGGAGTGTCTTCGTTCGTATGCCAACATGCACGCACACATACACAAGCACATGCACACACATGCACGTACACACAAAGCCAAATGCTCCCCAACAGCAGGAAGTAGGCCAAAATCAACAGCAGTTCTTTGAAATTAACACAATGTGAGAGGGTGTAAGGGATTACAGATTGTATGTGCAGATAATTATTTTAGATGCAAGATAACAGGATGTCTGACTAAATGTTCTGCTGCAGGCGAAAAAAAGGGGGAAGGGAAATTTCTCATTTAGTGCCATGCTTTGTCTTGGCAACAGCTGTCCCTTTGTTTTTCCACCTCTGGATTATTAGTAAAACGTTCCTCTCCTAAGCATGTCCATATGTTTACAGTACATCTGTTTCAGGTTACTTAGGAGTCATGATCTGTGGATATCAACGGGTCATGTCAGGGGTCATGGTCATGTTACAAACTTAAACTTTGAATATATTTTACAAAAAAACATAGGCTCTCACATTTGCATGCTAGAATCATACCTCTAACATGTTTCCACAATCTTTATCTGCCCTTCATGATCTAACAATAAGTAATAATTTCAATGATATATTACAACAAAAAGGTTACCCTAAAGTTTGACATGGATGCCTTAAAACATTTGATTTGCCTCAGAATTTGCAGACTACCATCAAAGTCTTTGTTAGTGAAGGCCATGTTACTCTATTAAGTTTTACACAATGAAAGATGTCTGAGCCAAAGATGGAATTTAAAATAAACCTACTGAAAGCCTTTTTTGGACCTTTGCATGCTCTAATGCTTACAATTAGATACCGTATGCTACAGAGTCAATGTGAGTAAAATTCAGTTTAGTTAAAAACAAAGACAATGAGGAAAAACACTTACCTGTCTTTGTGTTTAACTAAACCTTAAATTTTAAGTCAAACGGAGGCAGCACATGTCTGCACAGCAGATCTGCACATGGATCCCGCTCCTTCCTGTCTCTTGACCAATAGTAGAGGAGCTAACC